ACATATAAGAAACTCACATAAATCTGTCCTCTGACCTTCACGTGTGGTGTGGAGAGTGGGGGAGGAAGGAGGTAGACGGAGCGTACACACACAAAAAAACAAATAAATGAAAAAAAATTTAAGATAATAACAAAAATTAATTTTTAGGAATAAAAGAATTTGGGAAAACACAATTCAGCCCCAGCTGTTTATGAAATCCATCCAGGTGACTGCTAAGGGGGTGGAAGTCCCAGGACAGTGTTGGAGCTTCTGGCAAGAGACTCGCTTATCAATATGGCGGTGCACCACTGGCCCACGGCTCCCTTGTGTGATTATTGATTGGAAAGGCGCTCTTTCCCCGAGACATTTCACTTTCTTTTTTTTTATGAATCAATGATTTTCTTATTTATTTATTCATTTATTTACATTCCAAATGCTGCCCCATCCCCCTCACAGAGTCCATCCTCCATCCCGAACCAATGATTTTCAAGATCAGACAAAGGCAGCGAGCGATCTGTGTTGTAAGAAAGAAACAAGGCTCCCAGCTTACTATAGTGCAAACCCTCCAGACACAGCTCAGGAAGGAGGAAGTAAGGTGGGCCCAGAAGCCTCCCTGAGCTGGAATAGGGTTATGATAAATCTTCACTGTCAAGACGTGCCCAGGATTGGGCTAAAGGAACTTCCTTGTGTGGTGCACAACCCTACAGCAATCAGAACTTCCCTGGGAAGACTTACTGACCTGTCAGAGTCATGAAAATGAAGGCCAGGGCCAGGAAATGAGCGAGGTGAGGGGAAACGGGCTTGAAAAGAAGGGATGTGTCTCTGTGTCTCTCCCAGTGAAGTGCAGGGCGGGGAAAGGGGGGCCCAGGAGAGCGGTACTCAGAAAAGGGGTCTTTGTAGGCATCCAACTGAATCTCTCCTCCCTCTCTCCATCCCTCTCTCCCTCTCTCCCTCTCTCCCTCCCTACCTCCTTCGCTCCTCCCCCTCCCTCTCCAGGGAGTTTGCCAAGATTGAAGCCGCCACCCAGCACCTGGCCCTGACCATCCTCTCTCAAAAAGCGCCTGCCCAGAGACCACTGCTCCAAAGGCCACCTCCGCCGCCTCCATCCCCCTTCCTGGGAGTGGCATGTGCTGAGGCCCCCATGGAAGTGCCCCACAGCAGCCCCAGCCTGAGCCCAGCTGCCCTAGACACCTCAACCCTTGACCTCTTTGATGACATTCTGCTCACTCCAATGTGTCCCTTGGTGACTTCTGACAGCTTCTGCCAGACTCTCACTGGTAACCCCCAGGTGGCATCCAATTTCACCTCTCATGCTCTGGGCCCAGGAGAGCAGGGACAGCCAACCCCAATACCGGCTCCAAGGTTCTCCAATCTTCCGTTCCCTCCCCAGAATGCCCAAGGGGAACACCTGGAGCCTGCGGCTCTACACTGGGGTTGGGTAGACAGTTGGGAGGCTCCTGAGGCCGGTGACCCTCAGGGAATCCCAGACAGCTGGGAAACCCTTTGAAACCCATTTACAACACAAGCCAAACCCATCTCAGCCAACCTCCCTACTCCTGACAGATGAAGAAAATTGCTCAGTTGGTAGAGTGCCTGGCCAACATGCAAGAAGCCAGGATTCCATGCCCAGAACCCTGTAAAGATGTAAAATAAATCCTGGAAAAATAAACCAAGCCCAGGCTCCCATTGTGTTCCACAGTCCAGAGCTCTGCTCCCAGACCCAGGGCTATCTCTGTCTACTTTGACTAACCCCTGCATATCTCCTGTATATCACATAGGAACAGGATGGAGAACTCTGGGAGGATCTCTGACCAAGAATCTTCCTTTCTTCCTTCCCAGTGGCTGGGTTGCTCACACACACATACACACACACACACATACATACACATGCATACACATACACCATACACATACATACACACATACATACACACACAAACATACACATACACACACATACACACACATACATACACATGCATACACATACACCATACACACACACACACATACATACACATGCATACAAATACACACACACATACACAAACATACACAAACACACACATACTCACACATATACACACATACATACACACACACATACACACATACATACACACACACACACCTACACACACACACACACCTAATCTCTGCTTGGTATCTGCTCTGTCTCAACAGTTTCCCAATTCCACAGAGCATGGCTATGGGTTAGGCCCAGGCCTTGGTGTTAAGACTGCAGACAAAGCAGACAAGATCTCCATCTCTATGGGAACATAACGCACAAGAAAACCTACAGAGAGCTTCAGACAGCAAGATGAATTTCCAGTTTTTGATTGGAATGGGTGTTAGGACACAAAGCGTGCGGCTGATCCAGAGGACTACCAGATCCTGCATGGTCAGGGAGGGCCTGGAATGCTAAGCAGAGTCAGGCTGTAGGAAGGCACGGGATCCTGGAGCAGGACAAGGCCCTGAGGCAGGACTCTGAGGCCACTAAGGACGGTCACTGTAGCTGGAGAGTTCTACATGTAGAAGAAGTGAGGCCTATCATGAATTGGGAAAAATTTGAACCTAGTTTTTATTGTGGATTTTTTTTTCTTTTTAGACAGTGCTGGGATTGCAGGCCTGTGATATTATGCCTTCCTCCCGTCTCTTAGGGTTTCCCAAATATGCTCTAGTCTGTCTGTCCTGACCAGGCCAGGTCCCACCTTCCTGTGTGTACTTGTGTCTTTTTGTCCTGAGCATACATCTTTGGGTTTAGGAGATGGGGTGGGGTGAAGGTGGGGGTCCTTCTCCTGCTCTCAGGCCCAGAGAACTGCCTGGGATTCCTCAGTAAGGAGCTGCAGGGTTGGGCTCCAGATCTCAGATCTCTGGAAGGTTGGAAGGCAAGGCTCAGGCTTACAGCAAGCGGTGGCCACAGCGTGGCTAGGACAGCATATTCTTGCCAGTCCAGGCCCCCTGCTGGTTTAACAAGCCAGGCAGGACCTAAATGCACAAGCTTGTGGTTTGAGAATGCTCCACAAGGGGGCTCCAGCGTCTCTAAATTGCTCCGGCTGGGTGCTGGGTTTATGGTTTGAGAGCTGATAGTCAGATACCAGTCTCCCTTTCCCTGTCCTGAGCCCCACGATGGTATGGAGAGTTGTGTGCACTTATGTGTATAGTCTGGGAATGTTGCAGCCAGCAAGATTATGCCTGGAAGATATGGGGAGGAAGGTGTCCACAGACAAGCAAATGAGAAAATGCCAGCTCAGGAGGGACCCTGGGGCCCCAAGATACAGTGATACGGAGGTGGGGGAGGGGCTGCTTCAATGAGAACACCTGCTCTTAGGATGTCACACATCCATGAAATCCATAGTGATCTTTGGGTTTCAAGGTCAGCAGAATCTGACCTGCAGAGCTAGTCCTAAGGGGCTTGAGAGATCTGTGCTGGAACGTCTTTCCTATATCTGGTTCCCCAGTGTACCGGTGGAGGACCGTGATGAGTAGGATCAAGTATTTATCCTTCAGTCAGCTGACTGATCATCCTACAAAGATATCACGGATAGACAAGGATCTTTCTCTGTCTCTCTGTCTCTCCAGAGATTATGAAGAATTAAGTTCGTGGGATTTGGAATCTGAGATGTCCCAGGAAATCCAGTGATTTCCTCCCTCCCTTCCCCCATGTAATCCGAGGTCTCTGTAGTTTTAGTTCAGGCAATCAATCCTGGTCTTCAAATACCACACGGAAAATTCCAGAAATGAAGCATTCATCTTAATTTACATACCGTTCTGAACAGTATGAAATAGTAAGCCATCCACTGCTCGGTTAGAAAACAAATCCTGTTTGGTGTATCCACACTATATATAGGCACCATCTCAGTTACCAGAAGGACTGGCCCAGTACCATAGTGCTTGTGTTCCCGGAAACCTTATCTTGCTGAGAGTGGTGACAGGTATAAAAAGACAAACTCATTTGGAAGACTTCATCTGAAGAGAACAGTGTATCTGTCTCTTTAAGAGCATCTCCAACACTTTGGTGTCTCCACTGCAACCTAGGCATGCCCTCCATAGCTTCATGGACTGTCCCTGCCACACTGTCTGGTCTTCTAGGCTCTTCTCTGGCACCTTGGTGCAAGCCTGCATGATGCTATGAAGCTGAGTGGGTACTCTTCCAGAGAAAGGGCTGTTTAGGGAAATGTTTTCCCAGGTTCAGTCATGTGGGTTCGGTGGCCTCTGCAACCATGGTAACACGGGGCCCACTCCCTCTGAGATGTGAGGGCCTGCAGAATGCGAGAGTTACTGTGTTATGGAGGGGCCGATGGGGTCAGACATAAGTACTATCTGAGATGGGGTGTATGGCTGGCTTTGTGTCAACTCAACACAGCTAGAGTCATCAGAGAGAAAACAATCTCAGTTAAGGAAATGTCTCCATGAGATGCAGCTGTAAGGCATTTTCTCAATTAGTGATCAGTGTGGAAGGTCTTGGCCCATTGTGGTCCTGGGTTCTGTAAGAAAGCAGGCTGAGCAAGCCATGGGAGCAAGCCAGTAACAAGTACACCTCCGTGACCTCTGCATCGACTCCTGCCTCCAGGTTCCAGCCCTGCTTGAGTTCCTGTACTGCTTCCTCCAATGATGGACTATGATCTGGCAGTGTATGCCAAATAAACCCTTTCCTCTCCAACCTGCTTTTTTGGTCATGGTACTTTGTCTCAGCAGCGGAAACCCTAAGACATGGGGAAAGGCAGAAACTCTTCAAGATGCACACACTTCCTACCATACAGAGGTGGTCTCTGTGGGGCCCAGCTTGGGGCTAGGAAGAGGCACCCTCCCCAACATCAGAAGACCCATCTCCTCCTCCCACCTGCACACCCCAGTAGACCCTGGGATGCGCCACAAACCCAATAATGTTTCAGTCCACAGTCACATCAGTGTTTATTCAGAGTATGGGTCCCAGTCTGTGATACTTCTTTGCTCTTTGCTCATGAGGTAGACCTAAGCAGAGTCCCCTCCCCACCTCTCTTCTGTCAACCCCCTGTCCCCCACCCCTTCCAGCACCCAGGAGTCTTGATTGCTTTTCCAGGACCAGATGTTCAACCAGGAGGCATAACACCCCTCCCCTCCCACAGGGCAGATGCTTCTACCTATGATGGAGTAACTCTCTCATCTCAGTCAGGGCCTGGAGTTCTGCAAGAGGGGGTTGTGGCCTTGGAATAGGCCCAGCAGCCCACTGTCTGGGACTGGCTCTTTAATGATCTTCTGAATCTGTGGACAGAGGTCAAGAAGTTGAGAAGCCCCATCTCTCTGGTCCTCCTGGCAGCCCCTCCCCCCCCTTTTTTTTTCTCTCTCTCTCCCAGCCAATCACTCTCCTGAAAAGCTTTCCTGGAGGCTGGAGAGACAGCTCAGCCATCAAGAGCATTTTCTGTTCTTGCAGAGGATCTGGGTTCAGTTCCCACCTCCCACACGGCCACTTGCAACTCTAGCTCCAGTTCCAAAGGATCCAATGCCCCGTTCTGGACTCCTTGGGCATTGTACACATGATTTTCAAGACATATATACAGGAAAAACATCCACATACATAAAGTAAAATAAAAACATTTTTTAAAGTATTCTGGGGCTGGACATGGAGGTGCTTTAACATAGCACTCAGGAGGCAGAGCAAGCATATCTCTGATTTTGAAGCCAGCCTGATCTACAATTAGAGTTTCAGACCAGTCATGGTTATATAGTAAGCCCCTGTCCTAAAAAGTCAGGGGATCCCCTGGGAATGGGCTGAGGATATGACTCAGTCTATAAAACATGTGTACACGTGTTAAGACTCGAGTTCTGATGCCCAGAACTCACACAGCCGCTGGCTGGGCAGGGCCCGCTCTAATTCGTCTCTACATCCCAGAACAAGCTGGTGAGCAGCCACCCACAGCCTCAAGCTCCAGGTCTGACAGACAGACCCTGCCTCTATGTATAAGGTAGAAGAGTGCTCAAGGAAGGCTCTAGACACAAACCTCACGCCTCCAAGTGCACACACACACACATCTCACCACATGAACACAAATGTTCACATACGCCCACTCTGCACACAGGCACACAAAAAAATGCAAGGATAGAAAAATGGTGTTCCTTTTAATCTGGTTCTCAATGCACCTGCCTGGTTGAGCTAACCACCCGCAATCTTGGTCTGCCCTGTAGCCTTGGACCACTAGTGGTGGACGGCTCTCTCCTGGAGTCTCTTCTCTTCTTCACTCGTCTTATCTTCCCCATCATTCCTTTAGGCCCTCAGCTCCTGCACAGGCCCAAACTGTGCCCATGAAATCTCCACCCATTTTCACAATTCCCTCTTGAACAGGAGTAACCGACCACATTAGCATCACTGGTTAATCTCCAGAAAACCAAAGTGTGTACATCCACTGTCTCCACCCTGGTGAAGGCCCACTACTGCTTTCGGGATGTGTGAAGGGGCCTCCTGGCCAGTCACACTGCTCTCCCGGGATACCTAATGTAACACTGCTGTTTTGGCCTGCCCTGCCCCCGGACATTTTTCAGAAACCTAAAGAAATGATATTCCTCAGTACGGCATAATGGTGCATATCTCCAATCCCAGTTCTCAGGAGGCTGAGGCAGGAAGGAGGCTTGCCATGAGTTAGAGGTCAGCCTGAACTACAGAGTAAGACTGTCTCAAAGGGAGTGGGGGGAAGCAAAAAAGCCAAAAAAAAAAAAAAAAAACCGACAAACAACATGCTTCAGCAAATATAGACACTTGTCTTCAAGCCTGACCTGTGTTCTGTCCTGGGGACCCGTGTGGGTGAAGGACAGAACTGACTCCCTCAAGGGAGCTCATACACATTAACACACACACACAAACACACACACGCAGACACGCACAGACACATGCTACAACGAGAATAAAATAAATTAAGAAACCATGTTGGGTGGTGGTGGTGCACTTGGGAGGCAGAGGCGGGTGGATCGCTGAGCTGGAGACCAGCTTGATCTATAGAACGAGTTCCAGGTCATCCAGGGCTACACAGAGAAACCCTGTCTCAAAAAAGCCAAAACAAACCAACAAAAATAACAACAAAAAGCCAGCTGGGGTGTAGTGGTGTGTGCCTGTAATCACTTGGGAGGCAGAGACACGAAGAACAGAAGGTTAAACTCACCCTTGACTACACAGTGTGTCCAAGGCCAGCCTGGGACACAGGAGACCCTATATCAAAAGGAGGGGTATTTCTTCTATTCACAGAAGCCCAAAGGGGCCCATACCTCCTTGAACTGGGGATGAGCAGCATCCCTCACAAGCTGCAGAATGAGCGATTCACTGGTGGACAGGAAAGCTCCACTCTGTCTCATACGGGCCAGTGCCACCAGCCGGTCGACCTGGCTGCAAGAGAGAGGGAAAGAGGGCGGGTGTGCATGCTGTCGTGTGCCTGACACACATAGCAGGCGCCATCCCCACAGATACCCTCTACCTTCGAGAAGAGCAGGCATCCACCACTACATGGACCTGCAGTCCCTGGTCAAGGAGGTCCAGAGCCGTGTTCTAAGGGCAGAGAGGTCAGGTCCAGACCCAGAGCACAAACAGGGCTCCCAGTGAGGGTTTGGGAAGTCCAAGTCGGAACTGGGTACTGGGAATGAGGATGAGGGAGGTTCAGCCAGGGCCCCAGGGCAGGAGGGAGGGCAGGAGGTGAGGATGGGGAATTCAGGGGTCAGGCAAGATCTCACCAAGATGCAGGCTTGGGTCTCGATGCCACAGAGCAGCACAGACCGCAGCTGGGACCGGCCATCCAGCTCCTTCTGTAAGGTGGGCACCATGCTGAAGCATGTCTTACTCACTGGCTGAATGCCCTGAGCGCCCAGCTCAGGAACTGTGCGGCCCAAGCCTTCTGGGTACTGCTCTGTCAGCAAGACAGGGACATTTAGCAGCCGGGCCACCTACGTGGGAAAAGAGACAAAGGGCTGGATCTCAGGGCTGAGGGCTGAGGACTGTATTCCTAGGGTCTGAGGGAGGAGGGCTTGGGCTTGGGCTTGAACCCCTGGGTCTTCAAAAGAAGTCGGCTCTACGTACCTTAAGCATTCGAGCAGCCACTGACACGATCTGTGGGAAATAGGCTATGCTAGGACGAAACTTCTCCTGCATGTCACACAGGAACAGGATGGAGGACTCTGGGAGGATCCGGCCCAGGCTAGCCCTGGCTGCTGCCATTTCCTAGGGGTGGACAGAGGGACAGTAGGCAGGGTCGGGTGAGGACCATAGGGACTCAGCGAAGTGCTTAGTAAATGTGTGGTTTTGACACAGCACGACCATGTCAAGAGCCAAACCCTCAGAATCATGGGAAATGGGCAAAGTGTTTGTCAAATCTGAGCAACAATATTGACAACGTGTATAGGAAATGTCCACCATAGCTTTCATCCTACTCCTTATGTTTACAGACTGTCCCCTCAGAGACTGTCCCAACGATCAGCTAGCCTGCCTCCTTGTTTATCTGTATGTAGTAAGTCTGCCTCCCTGTTCAACTGTGTGGTGGTGTGAATAGGTTTGACCCCCATAGATTCATGTGCTTGAATGCTTAGCCCATAGGGAGTGTCACAATCAGGAGGTGTGGCCTTGTTGGAGAAAGCGTGTTACGACAGGGGTGGACTTGGAGGTCTATGCTCAAGCTAGTCTCCTCCTTGCTGCCTGAAGATCGAGCTGTAGAACTCTCGGCTCCATCTCCAGCACCATGTCTGCCTGCATGCTTCCCGGCATGATGACAATGGACTGAAACACTGAAACTGTAAGCCAGCCCCAGTGACATGCTTGCCTTTACCAGAGTTGCCATGGTCATGGTGTCTCATCAAGGCAATAAAACACTAAGACAAACTGTATATAATAAATACACCGAGGTTTCATGGGGGAGGGGCACGGAGAGGAGTGGGGGAGGCGGGAGGCGGCCATTTTCCCGGATGTGCATTCCTGTACCTTGTCTTTCCTTCCCTTCCTCTCTGTCCATGGGGTTGTGGAGGATACAGCAGGAGATGAGGGCTAAGGGTTCAACCAGGGTTCACACACTTGCTTCTGTGATCCAAGCACCCTGCATCCCTGCTCCCATCGCCGGGACCTTTCATCTGCTCTCCTTGGCCTGGAATGTCCTCCCTCCCTGTTCACAGGCAGGGCTACTTTCTTAAGGAAGCCTTTTCTGAGCATGTCTGCCTTGACCCCGTGACACCCTCTAGACATACCCCCACCACCCGCACCTCCACTTCCTCCCTCTTATATAAAGATTATACACCATTAACAAGTAGTTGATTCACTCTCTATCTGTCACTAGTGGAGCTCATTCAGGCCTCCACCCCTGGGGAAACTGAGGCATGAGCAGTAAGTGACCCGTCTAGGGGCATACAGATCCGGGACATTATCCCTGAGATAAAAAGGGTCACAGGGTCTTGCTATTTAGCCCGTGGTGACCTTAAACTTAAAGTGAAGCCCTTCTGGATCAGCCCGCCCAAGTGCTGGGCTAATAAGCATGTGCCACCATGCCAGGCTTTGAGATTCTTAAAACCTGGCTTTTTCAGAAGGGCCAATAGTTCTCCAGTCTTGGTTTACCCATGTGTGGTGGTTTGAATATGTTCGGTCCAGGGAGTGGCAGATTAAGGAGGTGTAGCCTTGAGGAGTAGGTGAGGCCTTGTGGGAGGAAGTGTGTCACTGTGGGGGTGGGCTTTGAGAACTTCCTCCTAGCTGCCTGGAAGTCAGTCTTGTCCCGGAGGCCTTCTGATCAAGATACAGAGCTCTCAGCTCCTCCTGCCCCATGGCTGCCTGGACGCTGCCATGTTTCTTACCTTGATGATAACAGACTGAACCTCTGAACCCATAAGCCAGGCCCAATTAAATGGTGTCCTTCATAGGAGTTGAGTTGGTCATGGTGTCTGTTCACAGCCATGGAAACCTTAATTAAGACTCCATGTATAAAACACTGTTGCTGAACTGCCTTCTGGGACTTGGGAAGATTCTTACACATGGCATATTACCAAGTTATCGAAAATAATGAAAACTTAATAGGCATACAGCTCTGGTGAACCCCAAAAGTACTAAATTCAGGGAAACGGCCCATAACAACGGCTATGTGATGTATAAGTCTACTCAATGGGATCCCAGAATGGCCCATGACTGTAATTTCAGCACTCAGGAGACTGAGCCAGGGGGATTACTGAGTGTTCAAGGCTGGCCTGTGGCTAAAAAGAGAGTTCTGAGTCAACCAGGAATACGGAGTAAGACCTTGTCTTTAAAAGCCAATGAAGGAGCTGGAGAGATGGCTCAGCAGTTATGAGCACTGGCTGCTCTTGTAGAGGTCCTGGATTTGATTCTCAGCACCCTCCTGGAAGCTCACAACCATCTGTAACTTTAGTTCCAGGACACTCAGTGACTTCTTTTGGCCTCTGCAAACGCCAGGCAACAATGTGGTGCACTGATATACACGAGGGTAAAATACCCACAGACATAAAATAAAGTAATTATTAAAAAATTTAAAAAGAAAAATGTTAAAAATAGAAAATTAAAGAAATTTTAAAAATTAAATTTAAATGTGCAGGGGGCATAGTCATGTGTATACCATCTCCGTTAACCTTGGAACAGAGTGTTTTCGTCATGGCGAGTTGCGGGGAGCCAACCTTCCTCCATTTTGAAAGAATAGCTTTAGGTTTTGTTTGTCCTCAGCTGAGAAAGCAGGTGACCAATGGTCACTGCACCCTAAGGAAAGTGGTTGCTGCGCCCTGAGCCAGACAAAAACATCGGGGCTGCAAGATAACCGGCGTGGCAGAACGCCCAGCTGCTGTGACATTCCCCCAAACACATCCCCTTCCCTGGATGTATAAATTGACAGAAAACACAGCTCGACGGACTTTGATCAGAAAACTTATCTTGGTCTCGTTCTTTGCGTCTCCTGTCCCTTCTTCTCTTAGGGTACCCTGTCGAAGACCCCGCAGGCCGGGGCAGCGAGTAGAAACCCTGCGTCTGTTAACTGTCACCTCAAATCTCTCCCTCCTCATCCCCTGGCTGTATCTGTGACTTTACTTGTTCTGGCCATTTTGTGTGTGTGTGTGTGTGTGTGTGTGTGTGTGTGTGTGTGTGGGTGGCCATGCTCCTGTGTGCGCATGTCCTCGTGGGCACACGTGCATGCACCAGTGGCCACAGGAAAGTGTCCAGTAGCTTTTTCTCTTGCCCTCTACCATATTGCTTTGGGCAAGGTTCTCTCACTAAAGCAGAGTCACACTGCTCTCCAGGGCTGGGGTCACAAAGCACACGCAACCATGCCCAGCTTTTTCATTAGCTCTGGGATTTTGAACCCACGCTGACTTTCTACATGGTGTTCATGCATCTATGACTCGTACTTCACTGAATGAGCCATCTCCCCATACAAGCTAGAGACGTCACCTGCCAAGTAACACTTTTGCAAGAGGGAAACCTGCGTTCCAGAGGGGCCAGGTCATTTGTCCTGACTTCCCCTGAATGGTGTCTGTCTACCCACAGGGTCTGAGGCTTCACCGCCAATGGCTCGTGTCAGCCAGTGTTCCTAGGAGGCTGTGCTGTTGCTGGGTCCTCAAACTGCTGCACAACTCGGGGTTCCTGCTGGGCTTTCTCTGCCGCTCTTTCCTACTGTTTGTGGGTAGATTTGTGCTCATCCATCATTTATTCATTCAATGGGGTATGGGGACAAAGGAACCTAACAGAGGAGGACACTAGGGAGGTGGAGACACAACATGAGGGCACTGAGGGAGGTGGACACCCAACAGTGGGGACACTAGGGAGGTGGACACCCAACAGAGGGGACACTGAGGGAGGTGAAATCCAACAGAGGGGACACTGAGGGAGGTGACACCCAACAGAGGGGACACTGAGGGAGGTGGACACCCAACAGAGGGGGCACTGAGGGAGGTGACACCCAACAGAGGGGACACTGAGGGAGGTGAAATCCAACAGAGGGGACACTGAGGGAGGTGACACCCAACAGAGGAGGACACTAGGGAGGTGACACCCAACAGAGGGG